CCCCCCATAACATTTTCACGTTTGTTCAATACAGCACACACACAATAAGTTGCTAAAACAAAAACTAATTGAAATATACAATTGTCTTGTTGATAAAAGCTTTGTATTGTAGTAGTTGACGATCTTACCAAATAATAAAGAAATTGTTTGAAAAATGAAAAGGCCTTCTTAGGATTTTTTCAATGTCCTACATTTTGAGGTAACCGTTACACAATATTTTATACTCTCAGTTGTCGATGAGTGATGATTTCATCCCATTCATACTTCTAATCACTTTTTTATGAACATGCTGAAGACCGTGACATCATAAGACACTGTGTATATGGAGAAGCTAAAGAGATGGACATTTCAATAGCACATTCCCTTAAAAGCACGCACACTTTCCACGCTGAAACTATTTTACCCCTGTGACTTTTAGAGCCTATAACGGAGTTAAAAGTACAGCATTGTAGAACACAACACATTGCACAGGGTTAAGCAATAGCCAATTCAAATCAGTTAAGAAGCAAAAACGTAAAATGTACACATAATTTCTGTAACAGGCGAGACATAGCCCTGGTTTTTCATCATAAAACATGTGTCTTTCTTTTTACGAAAATTAAAAGAAGAGGAAGAGAATCCATTTCAAAACACGATACACCGTGGCGGTGAATGGCCCTCCGCCCCGCCCTTGGAGGGAGACCGCCTCCAATGGGGACCGTGAGTCGCAATCGATGAGCTCTTTGTGGGCGGAGCTTCGCGGGCCATCCTCATTGGTCGCCCGTGTAACCCAGCACGTGGCCAAATATTGACACGAAAGCGACAGTTAGCGGGTCGACCTCGGGACCCATAGCCGCAGAGAGCGGAAGGAACTCACAAAAAAATAACAAGTTATAAATGTCGAGGGGGCACATTATCCTCCGGAAATCGTCGGCGTGAGGGGATGAGCGCACACACCCGAGGAGTACCGAACGATAGTGAGCACGGACCACGGTGGACACACACCCCTCAGTTGATTAATTATACGCTGAAGCGGTCATAAATTTATTAGGCCTTCATTGCCTGGTTCAAGAGTGAATTTTAGCAGCAGGTTTTTTTTTCCGTTCGTCATTATCTACCTTCCAGAGTCTTACAGTTTTGAAGTTTTCACACAGTGACTGACGCCTTTGCTGATTTAATTCTACCTTTGTTTGAAAGATCTTAAAGATTTGAATTTTGTGAAGGAAGGCACAAGGAAAAAAATTAGGCCTGTATAAACCACTTGATTGGTGATTTGGTCAACTGACCATTGCATCCATTTATGAAACACAAAGAGGTTGAATTGTAAAAACTTAGAAAAAAATACTCTGAATATATTCTATTATTGTGAACTGATTGGAAATTCGAAGCTTCATCCTTTCCATCTCACGACAAATCGACCAAAGCACGAACACTAAGTGGATAATACTGTCTCCTTCTAAATACTTATTCACACCAGACTGATGATGACGTGATGTGTAAGAACTGTGCTACAAAGAGTGATATGCGGTTCCCTTTGAAGTTGGAGAAAATAATATCTGAAAGCATTTTGCAGTCCATACATCTGTTCACTTACAGGTTTATTTTAATTTTGACAAGAAGAAAACAAAACCTGTGATTGAGCTAATGGGGGAGAAATAAGTATTATCAAAGACAGCCTTGTATCGGAAACCAAGACAGTGGTAGAAACCTTCTCTCGAGCCACAATGCCTCTCCTGATCAACCCCATCACCATGGACCTGTCGAGTTTTCTCTACTCCCACGACCCGCTCCACCACACTAACTCCCGCCACCATCTGCCTCCGCACCACCCCAGCTACAACCACATCCACCAGAACCTCAGCCACGTACCATTAGAGGAGCAGAGCCCAATCTACACCCCTACGGACCAATTTCAGCAGGACCTTCAACAGCACCTACAGCAAACACACACGTCAGACCTTACACATCCACAACAGCTCTACACAAGTTTCAGACTCAGTTACGGTTACTCGCCCAGCCAGTCATCGTCCTCTTCTACCTCATCCACATCTTCCTCGCCTCCGTCCATGTTGAATTTGTTGTCCAGCCCGTCCCCAACAGAGATGCCAGACTACCCGCCCGGATACGAGCTCATCAAAACGTCCCGGAAGCGGAAGCGGAAGTGTCAGCAGCAGCAGGTACAGCAGAGGCAGGCGGCCAACATGAGGGAGAGGAAACGTATGCAGTCCATCAACGACGCTTTTGAAGGTAACAGCGTCTTGAGTGTGTGTGTGTGTGTGTGTGTGTGTGTGTGTGTGTGTGTGTGTGTGTGTGTGTGTGTGTGTATGTGTGTGTGTGCTGACGACTGCTTGTGTCGCACCAAATGTCTTTATGGAGATCAATAAATTGTTATCTTATCTATCTCGTCTGATCTACATTCCTCTCAATTCTTTATATATTTATATATCAATGTTGAAATGAACATAATTCATGTTAACCTATGTTATTAACTCGCTCCAGCACATCAGTTACAATGTACTGATATTAGTCTAGAATTCTTTCAGCTTAGAAGAATCGAGTCAGACTTGAAAAAGTTTCTAACAGCACTACAGTACAATTTCCTGATGTACACTGTTCTATAGTGTAAGAGGCTCAGGGTATATATAAAAACTAGCAATCTGGTCAAAACATTAGAATCTCCTTTTGTAGGGGTAAACTTTCCTAAGCATCACAGAATTGCAGCAGACACTCTTTTAGAAATAGGTATAGGCTACAACTATTAATTGATTTGTTCATACTGCTCTCAAACTCACCAGAAACAAGAGGGCTTTCATTTATCTTGATAAATAAAGGCACAATGAAGGAGAAAATAATGGGAACCCCATGGACTTTTTTTTTTATATCGGAAATGCAGATTGTAGGGTTAAGTGTGTAACCCCCCCAAAAAAAATCATTTTGTAAATGTAATAGTAATAGAAGGAATTAAAAGGTTAAAAAATCAATCAGTCAAGCTGTTCATTTCTCAAAACATTTCTTTTATTCATTTGTCAAGAACCAATATAAAACACTTCTTTGTATCTCATATCATGCATAATGAAAAGAAAATAATCATTCATCCATTGGAGGCATCAATTCTTTTGCTCATCATACATAAACACAAATATACACTGATGTAAACACTAAAACATAAACATAATTACTGCGCCATATATAGTCATTACAATTTACCCTTTGATGATGGCTGTTAACACAAATAAAATTCTGAAAACATGAAAATTTTAAACAATAAACATGTACAACGTGAATATTTTTTTCTATGAACATAAGGTTAAAAAGGAGAAAGGAATTCACTGAGTCCAACTACAGGTCCAAGTTTCCCAAAGATCACAGAAAAGATAATTAGAAAACAAAGCAAGAAAGTTATTTCAAATCTCACAGAGAAAAAAAATTGCTCCTTGATCTTTCAAAATAAAGGTACCAGTTTAAAAAAGATATTTGATTGTCTTCGTCAAGAATGTATTCCATTCTGTTCATTGATAGTTTTTTATTTAAATTTTCAATTAAATATTGTGATTTCAAACATGAACAATATTCAGAAATGAATTGAATGTAAAACATTTTAGGAATTTGGAGCTTTCAACCCCCCATAAATTATCTCATGCAAGTTTGAATATTTTGGAGTAAATTATTGATGTTTTACAGGAGTGGGCCAGAAAATATCATCCCTTTACTTTGCTCAAACCAAAAGTGAAAAAATGGGGACAGAAGCTTCAAGTCAGACCTACATTAAAAAACTTGGATCCATTGTCTATTATGTTAAGCTCATAAGATGTCATTAGAACCTACTCAACCCTCTAAGGAAACCTATACATGTACAAAATTCTCTGTATGAGATTCATAGTATAAAAACACTAAAAAGATTAGCAAAATATATGAAGATGGGTTATCATGTACTAAAGAAATCACACCATCTCTTTCTATAATGTTCAAGTTCCCCACCTAACTAGATAAACAGATAAAGAGAATGTTTTTCTACCTCTAAAATGAAACCAGTACAAAAGTAACAGGAAAAGAATATTGCAACAAAGTATATATACAAGGTGCAACATAACACCTAAGGAAAACTATAATTACACAGGAACAAAAAAATGATGTAATGAAACAACTCACAATGATTTACATTAATGGTGGAGCTGTAAACATTAGATCTAGTGAATCACAGTCAATGTAGCAAAAATGGAAAAGAAAGAAATCAAATGTCTCTTTCAATCAATGGCTCTTTCCATCTGAAGAAATAGTGATCAATCTAAAGAAAAAATAAATACTTTATGCTCTGTGTACTAAACACATAACTCCGAAATTCCTGACGGGATGAACTTATAATTCATAATGCAATTCTCAGAAAAAAAACCAAACTTTTTAACTCAACATCAAGGTTTGCTGCAGTGTACATGATTTGGAGAATCAGGCTCTGGGTGAAAGAAACAGTCCTGCGATCTGGTCTTCAACACAGCAAGGACAAATGAATCAGCAAAAACTGACTCGAATCTTTTATGACCTCAGAGAAACAATTAAAATCTTGACCATTCTTAGACGCAGAAGTCTGCACAAATTTAATTTGTTGAACCCTAAAGCCTTTGAAAATAAAGAAGGTGTGATTTCTTTACACCACCATTCAATATATGAATAATAACAAGATATAAAAGCGCACTATCTCACCAAAATAATATCAAAATGAAGGTCACAATCAAGTAGCCAAAACAACATAATCAACCTTTATTAATGAAAATAAAGGTAACATGACTCTGAAATGAAACTTAAGTGGTGCTGAGTATTGCTCTGAAAAAAAAAAAATCAATCCAAATGAATCCAAGTGATTGTCAACGGTCTTATGTAACATTTGCCATTAACTTACCTACATTCACACATATCAAAATATCAAAGAAGTGAATGAATGTATTTCTTTCATGCTATCTAGACAGCAAAATTGCGTGTGTTACTCGTGAAAGTGCCAGATATGAGCCTCTCAGCAGAGATCTCCTGTCACCAGTCATGCCACACTTTATCAGAACAAAAATATAAATACTTTGGCTTATTGAATTGCTTGAAATCTGCATCACCTATTGCTTTTTATTTCAATCTTAGCCACAACTTAGTTTTATGATTGGCAAACCCCCCCCAGACACCCCATCTTTCATAAACAGTATACTTTTTTATGTTTATAAAAAAAAATGTTTTCACCTTACACACCCTTACTACCCTGGCCAAACAGTCACCAGCTGTCTAGTTGAGCTATGTAAAGCATATGGGGCAGTTGACAGGTGAACTCAAGCTGTACTACTTCAGCATTATTTTTTAAGATGTAGCATTCAGTTATTCATTTCTGTCACTCCGTTTCCCTTTATTGACAGTCCCTTGACCAAGAACATTAACTTTCCAAATATCCATTCCTGTTATTTTCATATAAATTTTTTGCGAATAGAATTTAAATGTAGAAAGTGAAGATGCAAAAATGCACCTTAACCTTACATCTACTTGTTTAAATCTAATATCTAGAAGAAACTTATGCAAAAGGGACGAAAATACCAAAATAATGCCTTGGGCGACCTCTCTGAAAAAGAGGAACTGAACCATTTCTTTTAAATGAAAAGAAACATAAAACAATTTTATTATGTCTTCAAACTAGTCTAGTGATATCTTTGCTATCAAGTAAGTGAACTGTTACAAGTGCATAAAAGACAGCTTCTATCCCCACATAATTAAGTACATAGTTGCAGCAAGGCAGCTATACATGCATGTATTATGACATTTCATATAATTTTTTTATGTACATTATATAACAAGTATGCCCAGCAAAATACTCTTTCTTGACAACAATTCACCCAATCTGGATTTTCATGGCTCATCCCACAGACTCAACCAATACAGAATTTACATTCTTTGAAATGTCACAATTCTCAATCATACAGGGCACATGCTTTCAAATTAGAATCCTCAGTCATTGTCGTACCAGTGCTACTTTCACACAAGACGACATACACACTTGTATTATCAGAGATCAGACTCAGCCAAAAGAACCAAAAGCCAGCAACTTTTAGGTCAACACAATAGGTTTAAAAAAATGTACTACATGTGTTATTCAAATGAGTCCTCAGACATAAAGCGTTCAAAATGCTGCTTTAAGAAGGAGATAATAACCCATTGTACAAAGACTACTCATTGCATCCAAGCTGCCATTCAACCCACACGTCAGGCATTGATATCTGCTCAGACCCTCTATCACATGTGCATGACTACTATCATACAACATGAGCATCACTGATTCTTCAGCAACTAATGGGCAGGTAACCTTTTCAAAATATCTCGGTGTGGTTCTGGAGTTAAAGATGCTGAGAAATCAGAAATACTCCTGTCGCAAATCTGAGTCCAATTTTGATGTCTAAAAGCCCATTCACTTTCATAGAAACTGGCTAAATACTTTTGCTTCACAGAAAGTATAAGCCAGGTCAATTGATTTCATAAGTCTAAGATAAAATTGTTAACTCAATATAGGTTTTAGTAATTCAGAATACCATTTTTGCTTGAGTCTGTCTGACCCGATATAATTTTCAATGTCTAAAATCTAGAACTTCAGAGCATAGGGGGGAAAAACAACTCAATCAGCCCTCTATCATATCATTACCATTATAACCCTGAGCTTCCACATCATGTAACAAGATTATCAGAGCAACATAGCAGAAAAACAAACAGTATGTGTTATGTCCTGATGCTGCAAACATTTAAAAGACACAACAAACCTTCAAAATAATTCAACGATCATTTCACAAAATCAGTGTTGTATGAAAAGAAACTTAACAGCACTATGACCAAATGCATAAAAAGTTGCACACCTAAAGATCTAAAGCTCATTGTGACTACATCTTATTGCTCGCAAACTCTCCCCAAGTCTTACTATATGACTTGTGCATAAGCTTACAACAATAAGTCATTAAAACAACTGACAAAAACATTTTTTTCAAATGCTTCAGAACAGCATTCAGAAATTACAATATTTCCGAGCAGTCTTCCAAAACTTGTTGAAAGTTTGGTTTTTCCTCTCAAGCCTCATGAGAAAACAAGTCTCACAACTTTGCAAGAAATCAGTATCCTTAAGGTAGGCTGATTTGCCCTTAAACTGACACCCAAGAAGAAATAAATTTCACGCATTTTTGAGGCAAGGCTGATAAAATACGAGTAAGTGCAATTTTGAAGAGCTTTCAAATTTTGCTTTGCATGTACTGTCAGTGTTAGATTTAATTTCATTTAGGCTATAGGCTGCTATCTTTGTGAGTCCCCACCCAACGCTCCCTAATGTCACTGAGGCATGTTCCTCACATGGGCACTAAGAATAACCTTATCTTCAAGGGAAACATTTGGGGGACACAGGTGTAGGTCATGGAGTAAGCCCAGCATGATGAAAAACAAAAAGCACATATTTCTTTTGATGATTCATTAGAACCGGATATCAAAGGCACAGACAGAGCCACATAAAGATATTGTTTTATTGTAGTATTCTTCAGAGAGCTGACCATGTAAAAAGAAATAGAGAATCATCATCATTAGACTCCTCTTTCAAAAAGATCATGAATTTCAGTACAGATTGTTAAGCTGTTTTATGAAAGCTTGGGACTGACATATCAGCACACATATGAGACCACAAGATGAACAAAGCTACATCCAAGGCTGAAATATTAATTAACACACACTCTCTCTCTCTCTATGAACAAGGGCGAGGCCATTTGAAATTGAGCAAAACAGTCAGAAACTGCTCATTCGATCCATCTCAAATTAAAAAATCCTTGACCTCTGTATGGCCCAGTGCCATCAAGGACACTAAGTAGTACGTTGTTGAGTGCACAGCATACGCAGGCACTACATTTAACATTTTACTGTTAGTATTGTCAGTTGGCAAATGAAGCTTTGCGATTTGCTCTATGGGGAAATATTGTGAAATTGTATAGGTTTAATGCCCCTTTTAACACTGTAAGGTTATTTTAAAAGTGTGACCTTCGAATTTAACATCCATCTCCAATAGGACCAAGCCAAATGAGTGGAAGAGAACCTTAAAAACTCCCCAAAACAACCAAAGTTCAGAACACCCTATTGGGGATTCAAACCACAGCCATGTGCTCTGTTGTCCTGCATGATGCCTACTGAACAAATGACACACCCCTTGCTGGGGGATTCTAAAGCAGAAAGTTTTTAGGATTTTGATCACCCCATAATCAGTATGTCTTTTGACTTGAAGGACAATTCCCAACTCTTGCTGGGCTTTAAATAGCTTTCAAAAATCTCAAAGTTTTACATATCTTGAGGGTAAACATGAGAGAGCAAACAGACTGGAAACTGCAACAAGCTGTTTGTCACATTTTGAAAAAATTTTCCACTGAAAATAATATAGTAGATCTAAATGACAAGAAAACATCTTGCCATTAACAGCTGTCTTTGAAAGAACGTTTCCATTTTGATGTCAGTAGCTTTGAAATAAATGTTTTCAAATTCGATATATTTCTTCCTCAACACCACAAAAGTAGTTTTTCTGGCCAGAAATACTTCTCACCAATGTCTTACAACATACTACCACAATGGTAGTCCTTGAGATGATGAAGCGCATTGAAGGCAATTGCTGCTGACATTCCTGCTCCAATTAGAAGACCACAGCTAAATTCTGAAAAGGGTGCTTGTATCTTTCCAAATTCAACACCAGTCACACTCAGAAATTGGCACCTTCTCACACAGTAAATAACTTCTGTTTTTTCACACATTGCCATCTTCGTCGTGAAAACAGTTCAAGAAACCAAGTTCAGAGCGCCAGGCATTAATAGCCGTAATTCATATTATTATGATTATGATGGTAGTAGTGATGACTTGGATGAGTTCGTGAGATGGAGGAAAATTCTGAACATGTCATGTCAACTGAAGGTGTAGGTGTTTTCGGGAGTTTCTCCCGAGAAGTAAGCAGAGGGTTCACAGTCTGTGGCTGTGGTTGGCAGTTGCTGTAGTAATAAGCATCTCTTTCGTGTGTAGGCACAGGGGGTCTGGGAGCTTTGCCCGCAGGGCTGGAGTTTCGACAGCGGTTGTTACGCTGCATGAGAAAGACAGTGAGGAGGATGAGTACTAGGACGGCGCATGAAGGGAGGCCGATGAGAAGAGGCAGGTTGGTGTCGTCACTGGAATCGTGAGAGTCGGAGGAATCTTGAGAAGAATCGCCAGATCCAGAGTCCTGGAGATTGGTGTACTGATTGCCTGATATCCTTGCATTACCGTTATTAGGGTCAAAGCCAGCCCCTGGGGGAAAGTAAGAAATGACATTGTTTACTTTTGTAAAAACAAGCTTGTTTAAAATTCAAAATGTACAATCTACATAACCTTGATGTTCTCCTTCACACTCGATCGACTTCAAGCAGTGAGATGTTTGCCAGGGTATTAATATGAAACCTACAACAAAATGCTTCCACATCAATGCAACACACCTCGCTCTAGTGATTATAATGAGAAGCTAAAGCTGTAAATTTACAAAGGTGATAAAATGCAGGACTACAAAAATGCATTCGTACAAATAACTTTCATACAAAAAAATGTTTCTTCTTGATATGAGAGAAACATGTGATTGTCTGACTGTACAGCTAAAAATCCTGTTATGAATAACAAATTGAAGAGTGAAAACCATTCTTGGCACAAAAAAATATTTAACTAATACAGACTTTGCTTTGCATAAACAAGTGACAGTGCCTTGCAAAATGCACAACAAAAAACCCCCAGTTTTTTAAATATAATCTGTGATCCAAAATGACAAAAACACATTATATACACCTTCTAAAGAGATAAAACAGATCTCAAAGGTCTTTAAATGAAACTAAGCTGATGAGTGAACAAAAGTCTTTACAGTGCACTATTGCAGAGCTACACTATGTCTACACATTGAACATTGCAAAATCCTACCAAAAAGGCACAAAGAGGGTTAAAACATGGCTTACCGGAGGCTATATTCAGGAATGCATGTCGTGAGTTGAAGCCCATACGATTCGTGGCCAGGCAAACAAACATGCCTGCATCCTTCGGCTGGACATTCTGCAGGACCAGTTTGTTGAGGAAGGAACCATCTGGCAGTGCTAGTAGCACACCAGCATTCTTCAGGACCACAAACTTTACTCCCTCGTATTGGACCGAAGAAACGTTTGGATGTGGGATGTCCTCTGGCTTGTCCACACGTTTCAGCCACTAAGACCAAGCAGAAGGATGACAAGGGAAGAAGTCAATAAGGATGCCGACTTATCACTTAGTTAAAACATAGATTCAAATCACAGATCTGGTAAAAGAAGAAACAAACTCAAATTTGTCACTTCAACTTCAAGCAAATATTTAAAACTGAAACACTTAGAAACTCAAATTACACAGCATTTATACTTCCATTCATTTAAAAAAAAAAAAAAAGAAATCTAAAAAAAACCCAGCAAACATTCTTCAAGATTACATTAAAAGCAAAAGATTGAGAAACACTACGGCAGAAAGAAGGCATTTTTTACTTATCATATTATTGTAATCAACCTTAGAAGCCCCCTTTTTTCAAATTACTGTGAGTATACAGAAACAAGCATGGACACCTGAACCATAGCAAAAACTTAAAAACACGATCAACATGGCATTACATTTCTTAAGGACACAGAAATGCATGAAGTCCCTTCTCACTGGTGTTCTAAAATCCCAAGATAAACTTTCACAAAGAATACTAATCATATATACATGATTGAAACTCAATCAAGCCTGGGGTTCTTAACTGTGCTATTTAACAACTGCGAATAACTCTACAAAGAAACATGACGATTTAAAAGAATTTCACAGTTTTAACCAGTTGTCTAAAGGCATGACATGTATTTATATATCTATAATTAAGGGAGGCACTACGCTGCCAAGAGCGAAATGCTCGCAGCTAAAGGGATTATAAAACAACAATAACATATCTATAATTATGATTACCGGTAATCAAATTACTTTTAACACATCAACTTTTTTCCCTTTGATTTTCTCTATTTCAGCACTTTGAATTTCAATATGCGTAACTTCTTTCATACACAACAGTATTCATTTCCCTTGATCCCCTTGAATCACTGAAAGACTTGGCAAAACTAGTCAAGCATGACTGAAAAACTTCCATTCTCACTTGACTAATTCTGTAATAAAAGATGAAGATGAATGACATTCAAAATAATTTACAAGTTCCCCCTTAAATCATTGGCTCATACCTGCACTTGTGGCTCAACAACACTCTCAATGAAGCACTGGAATGACACTGACTTTCCAACAGCTACAGTCTGACTAAGAGGGTGTGGTGCAGTCAGACGTGGCTTTCGGATCTCGCCTAGAAAAGAAATGTAAAGGCACAAATCAACATATTACTTCCATTTTCTTTGTTTCAGCCAGCAAGAATCGTGTGACACATACTCATGTGCCCATGCAAGTACACATTCTTCACACATGATATATCTACAAGAAGACAAGACCTCCTTACTCATATGTGACCAAAGAGGTTGACAAAAAATATAGTCTATTTAGTATACTGAACTAGACTGATTAATAAAAGAAAGTGAGAAAAGTCAATTGTACAATCAAATTTTCTAGATAGTCATTTGAAATTTGATAACGGTTATGCCTTTCCAAATTCAATGGAAAAATGATATATAAATATATAAAAGAAAGCACATTATCTTTCAGGAGTACATCATTATACAATTGTTTCTTTTTCCTTGAGAACAAAAGAAGTCATTTATACAAAGATCAAAAGAGTATAACTCACCTACGACTCCAACGTTGTAGGTGAAGTTGACCTGCCCCAGCCTGTTACTGGCAACACACGTGTAGCTGGCATTCTCCTTGATCTCGTGGACTTTGAGCAGTGAATGCAAGTCTCTGTGCTCATACGGCCGGCCATTCTTTAGCCAGTGAACCACAGGACGGGGATTCCCATTTACTGCGCACCGAAGCCGAACATTTGAGCCTGTCGGTTTTATCATGTTCATGGATTCTTTCATTCTGTCCAATTCCTCAAAGTATGGAGCAGCTGTGGGGCGAGAATATGTCATTGTCTTTATTTACTGTTGATACTGACAAAAACCTTGATATTACATTTACAAAATGTATGATTACCAACAACAAATCATGTTAACTGTTATCTTACAATAGATACAAGATTCATAAGGTGTGTGTTACACTGTGAGTATCATGAGCTCAATTATTTTTTTAAATTTTGCCTATTCATTTTTTGCTCCTCTGTATAAGTTCAATCCCAGTTAACATATAACTAAATCAGATGAAAGAAATAAGCCTACATGACTCAAAGACTGATGTTGTCATGTTCAAGGCAAAAGCCATTCAAATCAATAAAGTTAACATATATTATTATATTATAGCAATTGATCAAAAGGAGTAGGAATAGTCAGAAGTAACCTAGATGTGCTAGAACAGTCACAGTTGTACTATAGCAGTCTGTATAAATGCCATTAGCCTTACTATGTATAATTCATTCGGCGTATTTACACCACCATAAAACCCAACACATCTAACAGCACTACATATCTCAACCAATACTAGTAAACAGAAAACCACCTACAGTTGTCCTACTTCCACCCAATCAGAGGCCACACTATCACTAGGGTCATAAAGCCGTTTAAAAGCTGGTTTATCAAGTGAAAGCAGTATGAAAGATTAGCCAAGGCAGCCTTGAAGGGGATCTCAAGAGAGTGAAACAGGAAAGAAGAGATAAGAAATCTATAAGGGCACATAGACACATGACATGCCATGAAGCGTGGACAACTTTTTAGTCCTCACAGTTGGCAAAACATTAAAAATCAAGGATAATTTCATTAATTAAGAGATGGAATCTGAGAAAAAACTCAGGACTTGAAAAACAACTTTTTAAAGAAAAATATGCTACCTCTAACTTTCTCTCAGCAAATAAAACAGAGGCAGGGAAAAGATGATTATATTATAATTATGAAAGGTTTTATTAAGAAGATGAGAAAACATTCTATGAACTCAAAAAATGTCCCCATCAATTTAAAATGAGGAGGTTGCACAAAGTTAGCAGGAAAGCATACACATTCTATTCCTCCATTGAAAGAAAGTAAATCAGACATTCTTATTAACTAGCACATGAACATTTCATATCTATTTTGTTGATTAATTAGCTCAATACTTTCACTTACATCCTGCTTTGTAAAGATCTTCATGAGGCGATAGTTTGAACTGTGTGTTGCCTTCTTGAACGATCCCATTGTCTTCATCTGAGATAAAACATGTGTGAATATAAGTGGAAAATAAATTAAAACTACGAGCAGTCTAAAGTACTACACCACCACTCAAGATCACTTTCTACATGCAAAAGATACAAACTAAATGTTCAAGTAAACACACAAACACATACACCCTTAGACATATGGTATCAAAAGCAAATAAGAATGCCTTTGAAAAATTATCAACAACAATTTCCTGTCTCTCATTTCCGTGTAAAAAAAAGCAATGTCTGTAGAGTGAAAAGATTGATTACTTGCCTCACTTCTAATGCTACAGAAGTATGACAGGAGAATAGCTTGAGGCAAAAAAAACAACCCAACAACAACAACAACCCCCCCCCCCCCCCTGCTTTAAAGGCAGACATCCCGCTGAAGTTCAAATGATGTCCTTGCTATTATTTCAGATCCTGACCAAATATATACTCGACTCACACACAAATCAATCCCATTTACAAATAATCATCTGAAAGAGAAAGGATCCCTTTGACACTTCATTCTTCTTCCCCCACTCTTATTTAAAAAAACTGAGCCAGGAATACAAATGTGGAGCGCTCTTTTACCAAATGTAGAAATTATTCATACAGATTCTGACACAGTCACGAGATGACAAACTCACTGGTTATATTATTCCACAGTCAGCTCCATAAAGTATTGGGAGATTGGCTAATTCCCCATATAACTGCCACCATGATGATTTTGCCACACTGCACAGCCATGATGAGTGCATTAATTATACCCCTAAATGACTTAATCATTTCTAAATGAATTATTAATGACCCTGACTCCTACATTTACGAAAACACAGCATATGTCACTACAGTCGCACATTAGTTAACACCTGCTATCATTAACACAAATTATACATGCAAATATGTGTACTCTATGCCATTTTCCATGAGTAAATCACAAAGCGCAACAAGTTCATCCATATTATGTTTTGTTTTGTT